TAATTCAACTGTTTTTAATTTTAAAATTGAAAACTCGATAAATTGAATAATCGAATATTCGAAAAATGAGACATCGAAAAAAAGTCGGAAAACAGAGGAACCGAAAAATAATTAAAATAATCGAAAAGTTGAAAAACCGAAAAATTGAAAAATCAAAAATCCACTAATTCAAAATTTGGAAAATCAAAAAATCGGAAAATCCAAACACCAAAAATACGGAAATCAAAAAATGATATTGCCGAATATTTCAAAAGTCGAAAAATCCAAAAATCGAAAAATAAAAAATTGAAAAACCGAATAACGGAAAAACCTATTAATCGAACAATTGAAACCCGAAAAATCAAAAAACCCAAAAAATAGAAAAATTGAAGAGTCGAAGAACCAATATGAAAACGGAAATAATAATCGAGTATAGGAAGAGTCAAAAATGGAATAATCGAGGTATCAAATATTGAAAAGTCGAATAAACACAAATTCGAAAAATTGAAAAACCGAAAATTTGAATATTTGAAAAATCAAAAAATTAAAATATGAAAAAATGGAAAAATAGAAGAACCAAAAAATAATCGAATACTTGACCGAAAAGTCAAAAAACCGAAAAACTGAAAAATCAAAAGTAGGAAATGCGAAAAATCCAAAAATTAAAAATCCGAAAACTCTTAAAATTATGATGTCGAATAATTCACAAGTTGGAAATCGGATAACCGAATTTGGAAAAACCGAAAAACGAAAAAGTCGAAAAATCCAAAAATCGAAAAATCAAAACTGAAAAACCGACTAACGGAAAAATCAAAACTGAAAAATCGAAGAGTTGAAAAACCTAAACGAAAAACGGATAATCTAAATATCGAAAAATTGAAATATCGAAATATGGGGGGAACTGGAAAATTCGTAAAACTGAATAATTCAAAAACTGAAAAACGAAAAATTCGATAGTTGAGAAATCGAAAAATTTAAATTTGAAAAACTGAATTTTGACAAATCGAAACACCAAATAACCGAAAAATCGAAAGATGGAATAATCGAAAAATCCAAACGTCAAAGAACGGAAAAACCAAAAGAGCGAGAATCTGAAAAACTGAAAAAGGGAAAAATCGGACAATTCAAATTCGAAAAATCGCGGAACGGAAAACTCGAAAAAGCGAAAAACTAAAAAAATCGAAAAATCGGAGAATCGGTAAACAAACCGGAAAACGGAAAATCGAAACACTGAAAAATGCAAAAATCGAAACATCTGAAAATCGAAAAATCGGGAAATCGATCAGCCATAAAATTTAATAATTCATAAGTTGAAAAATTGATAATTTAGAACTGAAAAATTGAATTTCGGAAAACCGAAAAACAAAAAATTCCAAAGTCAAAAGTCAGAAAATTTAAAAATCGAAAAGCGGAAATATGAAAAATATCAAAATACCGAATAACAGAAAAACCGGGAAATTGAACAATTGAAATTTGAAAAATCCCGAGACATGAAACTCGAAAAATTGGAAAAATGGAAGAAACCAAAAACCAAAAAGAAAAACGAAACGAACAATGGAAAAATCAAAAAATCGAGAACTCGAAAAATCTTAAAATCAAGTGATTTACAGGTTGAAAAATCGATAAAATTTGAATTGGAACAATTGAATTTCGAAAAACTTAATAACACAATAACCCAAAAACGAAAAAATTCGAAGGTTAAAAAATTGAAAGATTTGAAATCGAAAAATCGAATTTTAATTAATATAAACACCAAATAACCGAAAAACGGAAAAATTGAAAAATCAAAATTCCGCTAATTCAAAAGTTGGAAAATCGAAAAATCCAAAAATTCAAAATCCAAAAATCCGAAAAGTCTTAAAATTACAATGTCGAATAATGCACAAGTTAAAAAATCAAATAATCGAATTTCGAAAAACCGAAAAACAGAAAACCGAAAAATTTAAAATGAAAAAAATTGAATTTCGAAAAACCGAAAATCCCAAAAACCGAAAAACGAAAAATTCCGTAATTGAGAAATCGAACAATTTAAATTCGAAAAATTAAATTTTGACAAATCGAAACACGAAATAACCGAAAAATCGAAAAATCCAAATCTCGAAAAATGGAAAAATCGAAAAACCAAAAAATCGAAGAATCGATAAACAAAACGGATAACGGAAATCAAAAAACTGAAAAATCGAAAAATTAAAGACCGGAAACTCGAACAACCATAAAATTGAATAATTCGTAAGTTGAAAAATCCATCTTTTAAAACTGAAAAATTTAATTTCGAAAAAACCAAAAAATTCCAAAGCTGAAAAGTCAGAAAATTAAAAAACCAAAAAATCGAGTTTTGACAAACTGAAACGTTAAATAACCGAAAAACCGAAAACCGGGAAAATCGAAAAACTCAAAGATCAAAAAACCGTACAACTGAAATTTCAAAAATCTAAATATTGAGGATTCTGAAAACGAAAAACCGAATAACTGAAGAATAAAAAAAACGAAAAATTGAAAAATCGAAAAACTGAATAACAGGAAAACCGAAAAAAAATCGAATGATTGAAATTCGAAAAATCCTGAAACATTATACTCGAAAAAATGGAAAAATGGAAGAATTGAAAAACCAAAAAAAAAAACGAACAATCGAAAAATCAAAAATTCGAGAACTCAAAAAAGTGGAATGGAAAAATTTTATTTGCAAAAACTTAATAACCCAATAACCCAAAAACAAATAAATCGAATGTTCAAAAATTGAAACATTTAAAATCGAAAAATCGAATTTTGACTAATCGAAAGACCAAATAAGTGAAAAACCGAAAAACAGAAAAATCGAAAAGTTTAAGTCCAAAAACCGAAAAAACGAATAACGAAAAATTTGAAAAACCAAACAATCGAAATTCGAGAAATCGAAAAATTGGGGGGTCGAAAAGCGAAAAATCATGTAACCGAAAAATCGAAAAACCGAAAAATTAATAAAACGAAAAGTCGAAAGCTTGAAGAGTTAACCAATTGAAAACTTAAATAATTAAAAAATCGAAACGAAACATTGAATAATTGAAAAATCGCAAAGCCGAAAAACCGAAAAGCCAAAACTTGGAAAAATCTAAAATCCGAATAATCGAGAAATAAAAATTTAAAAATGAAAAACTCGGAAACTCGAAAATGAAAACTGAATATTTCAAAAATTGAAAAATCGAAATTTTGAAACCTAATAATTAAATTTCGAACAACCTAAAAACGAAAAATACGATAGTACGGAAATCGAAAAATTTAAAATTGAAAAATCGAATTTTGAGAAATCGAAAGACTAAATAACTGAAAAACAGAAAAATCGAAAACCTCGGAAATCGAAAAATCGAAAAATCGATATACCGAAATTCCGAATAACGGAAAAACTGTAAAACCGAAATTTGAAAAATCGAAATATTGAAGATCGAAAATTGAAAGACCGAATGAAGAATCAGAAAACCGAAAAATAAAAAAATCAGTAAACTCGAAAAGCTGAAAATAGAAGAATCAAAAAACCAAAACCAAAAACGAAAAGTCGAAAACTCCAAAAAAATTCAACGCAAGTAATTCAGAAGTTGAATAAATGAAAAAATATGAAATCGGAAAATTGAATTTCGAAAAAAGTCAACCCAAAATCCGAAAAACGAAAATATTCGAAAGTTCAGAAATCCAAAAATCTAAAAGTCGAAATATCAATACACCGAAAAACCGAATAACGCAAAACCGATAAACTGAACAATCGAAATTCGGCAATTCGAAAGACTGAAGAGAGGAAAACGAAAAACTTATTAACCCTAAACTCAAAACAACTGAAAAATTAAATAATTGAAAAATTGAATCTAAAAATTCTAGTTGAATATGATTTATTAATGACTACACAAATGAGTTGAGCGGAATCAACGTCGTTTTTCAGATTAATCAAACATTTAAGAACAATAAGACAAATAAAAAACAAGGAGTGTAACATAGGCAAAAATAACGACCCGAACATTAAGAGGAAAACGAAAAAAACCCTTGTACAAAAAATTGCGACAAAAAAAAATGAAAGAACGGAAATTACAAGGAAGAAGTTAAAAATAATGGCAAAAATAAAAATACCACCTTGACACCTCACCCAGGTACTAAGTTTCAAAATTCGCACTGTTTTCAATCCGGACTCCAGACAATCCATTCCCGCCGCGTAAACCAGCCCAGACGCCAATTATTCCAGGTCACATATTTAAAAGTAGCATAAATTTTACACTGTTAACTGGACGTTTATTGCGATTCCCGATCCTTCTCGGATCCCGGAATTTACTTTATGACACATCTCCATTATGAAAGCTCTTTTTAAACGCCCGATCTAAACCGACTCGATTCGCTCCGGTCCAGTGAAACTCGAGCGGACCGCCAACGTTTGCAGCTGATTTACGTGACGTGATTGCCATGTGATGGTCGTAAATCTGCGATGCAAAACCGATTGCCCACAGAGCTGTTTTTAATGTTATGCTTGTTTTCGGATCCTTGTGTGTGCATTAGCATACATATCACTTGTTCGAGCATCCATTTTTACTTTTTAAAATAGTACGGCTCAATTTTCGCGTGGAGAGTTTTCAGACTTTGCTCAATTCATAAATAATGGAAATATTAAATTTGGAGTGGAGTTTAAGTTATTGTTATTAATGTGGTGTTTATGAATGCGAGGAAATGAAGCGCGGTGACGTCGAAATGCCGCTGCTAACTTATTACTCGGACTAGTTCATGCAAAAACGACACGGGGAAATTTTCATATCTTGGGATTTGTGGGTAATAAGTTGGTGAAAGAAAACACACCTGGGTTAGAATGACGCTAATCAGTTGAATTACATTAAAACACAGCTACAAGAAGGAGTGATTTGTCAGTAATAACTTAGGGAAAACCGTACGCGGTAGCGGCGCCGCGCTTGCGCGCGTTTGTTGTTCGCGAACGCAGCGTCTGGAGAGTCGCCTCGTACAGCCCAAAACAGTTAGGAAAACGGGTTCCTGGAACCGCCCAGGCATGCACCTACCTTGAAGCCGTCGTACGTCCAGCTACCAAATTTGAGGACGCAGGTCTGTTCGTCAAAGGGAAAATACTCAACGTCAATCTCGCAAGAGGACTTGTAAATAGCAGGCGGCTTCCACTCGACTAGACCTTGGTGGTAGATGGTGGCCTTGGTGGCCAGAGTAACCTCGAAGTTCCCGTCCGCGCTGCAAGGCAATCAACAACGACCAGCAACCGCACACTACTACTATACTGTAAGTCGATTTCTGACTGGAGCTAAAAGCGTCCGAAAGTGGGACTATACCAGAAAACGGGACGAGGAAGGTGAAGACGGGTGCGATGAAGTCGCTCTACGCGTTTTATGAGCGTGTTTTATTGGCCGGAGGCTCTTGTCGCGTATTTATTGAGACGGGAAGGGTGCCGTATAAAGGTGCCAAAATTAATAACGACGCGAATTTTTCAAATTTCGAGAGAGGGAAATTGCGATGGCATATGGCTTTGTGCTCTAATCAAAAGTTGTAAACAAAGTATATTTTATGTTTGCTTTCGGATTTTATTGGCTCGGTGTTTGCGAATATTTCAATATAGGAATTTATGAGAATCGACGGAAACGTCGAAGCTTGCTTAATACGCGAATACATTTGACTTTTGGATAGTGGGATTGGGTTGAAGGAATAACGGTTATTGGACGAGACCGGAACTTCGTGGGCTGCAGGGCCATCGAATCACTTATTCACGCGTTTTATGCCACAATTAAATTTTAAAAATGTACGACGGGAGTCTGCTTACCAATAAGTGCTAGTAGTTGGGAGGTGGGTCTTCATAATTAAATAAAAGCGGATATTCAGCTCAAGAACAAGCAGCTAATGACAGCGAGCATTAAAACCACTCTACTCGAAAGGCGTTAAAGGCAGACACCACCCGGAAACGATACAAGGAGTCGGTCAATTTGGTAACACAGAGTTAATGAATTTTACTCTAATTATTATTGAAATAAAACTCTTTGTTTTCGAGAAAACCCCCAACATTATTTTTAGGCCTAGCACCAGCTAGAACCATTAATCTTGTAACTAGCACCACTGTGCAAAATTATTTTCATATATGTATATATACTTAAAATTCCCAGAATCAAATAAATAAATTTTAGAGAAATCTGAATTTATTTACCTTCGACCACTTTTTTGACATCAGAATTTTTGCTTTTTTCATTGTCTTTAATTTTTCAATTTTTCAATTTTTCGTTCCCCAGTTTTACCAGTTCATGATTTTTATTTTCATTTTCCCGATTTTTGAATTTTTATTTTCTCAATTTTAGATTACACTTTTCCGTTGTATCATTCGCTGTATTCAATCTATCCGATTTTACCATTTCTTTAATTTTGAATTTTTCGATTCAGCAATATTTCCTTTTTTCGATTTTGCACCATTTCGGTCTTTCAAGTTATTGATTTTCAATTTTTAGATTTTTTAAAATTCTTATTTTATCCTTTTTTGTCGTATTTTACGGTTTTTCAATTGTTATTTTTGAAACTTTTCCATTTTAATGATTCGAAAAGTTGAAAAACGGGAAAAAATCCAAAAACTGACACACTGAGAAACCAAAAATCGAGAAACTTAAAAATCTAAAAAATCAAGTAATCGAGAAATTGGAAAGAAGAAAAAACAAATCGAATCGTAAAATTGGAAACCAAAAATTGGAAACGAATAACGAAAAACAGTAAAAATCGCACAACTGAAATGCAAAAAATCACGAAAATTCGAAAAATGGAAGACTTGGATAACCGAAACAAAAAACGAAAACTCAAAAAATCGAAAACTCTGGTTTTTTGGATTTTTCAATTTTGCGTTTTCCGAATTTTCCAAGTTCTTAACTTTTATTTTCATTTTCCTGATTTTTTCATTTTCATTTGCTCAATTTTAGATCACATTCTTTTTATTTTTACATTGTTTCTTTCGATTTTATAATTTTTCTATTATTCATTTCCCAGTTTTCTATGTTTCGATTTTTGATTTTTTGTTTTTCAAGTGCATGATTTTTATTTTCAGTTATTCTGTTTTTCCATTTTCTTTATTTTTCAATTTTTCATTCGATTTTAATATTTCGTCGATTCAATTTTCCAATTTTTCAATTTTTAATTGTTCATTTACTCGATTTTCAAATTTTTAAATTTTTCAATTTTGCAATTTTTGGAGTCTTCAATTATTCAACTTTACGATTTCTTTAATTTTCAATATTTCGATTTAAGAACATTTCCTTTTTTTTGATTTTGCACTTTTTCGATTTTTCAGGCTCTTCATTTCCGATTTTTAGACTTTTCAAAGTTTTCATTTTTACCGTTTTTTATCGTGTTTTATAGTTTTTCATTTTTTATTTTTGAATTTTACATTTTTGCAATTTTTCTCTTTTGATGAATAGAAAAATAGAAAAATCGAAAAACTAAAGAAGCGGAAAAAATTGGGAAAACCTAAAAACCGAAATATCGGGAAAATTTGAAAAATCGAAACACTGAAAAACAAAATTCGAAAAAATCAAGGAATCGAAAAATTGGAAACCAAAAATTGGTGAATCATAAAGTTATAGAATCATCAAAATTGTAATATCAAAAAACTGTAACATTAACAGATCAAATTAAATATCGAGAAATTAAAAATTAAAAATCGAAAAAATTGAAAAATCGATTAAATGAAGAAGTTTTAAAATCCATTAATTGAAAAATGGAAAAATTCTAAAATCGGAAAATTGAAAAGTGAAAAATTTTTTTAAATTATTATTATCAATAAATTTCAAATGAAAACTAGAAAAATTTCAAATAAAAAATGAAACGAAAAACTGAGAAATCTGGAGAATGAAAAATCTAAAATTTAAGAAAAAAAATTAAAAAACGAAAATTTGAAAATATAAAGAAAATAAAAAAAGAAAAATTATGGAATAGTCAAGATTGTAAAATCGAAAAACACTGAAAGATCGGACATTTGAAAAATTAAATGTCGAGAAATTGAATAATTAAAAATCGAAAAATTTAAAAAGGGAATAAGTAAATGAAAAATTTAAAATCCACTAATTGATAATTGGGAAAATTTTTAAAAATTATAACAAGTGTTAGATATGTATATATTGAAAAACCGAAAAATTGAAAACCAAAAAATTCCAAATTGAAAAATCAAAAAATTTAAAATTTTCGCATCGAAAAAAAAAGAAAAATTATAAAATCAGGATATTGATTAATTGACACATTGAAAAAATAATTAGAATAAACTGAAATGAAAAACTGTGAATCGAAAAATTGCAAAATCTACAAATCGAAACATCCAAATTTTGGAAAAGAAACGAAAAATTTAAAATTCATAAGACTAAAAAATTTGAAATTGAAAAAACGGAAAATTAAAAAATCTGAAAGTTGAAAAATTGAAAACCGAAAAATTGCAAATTGAAAAACCGAGAATTCCAATAAGCGAAAAATTTCACATGGAAAAAAGAAAAATTACAAAATCAGGACATTGAAAAATAATTAAAACAAAACCGAAACTAAAAATTGGAGAAATAAAAAATTAAAAAATCTAAAAATCGAAAATTATAAACTGAAAGGTGATAAAATTGAAAAATCTAAAAATTGAAACTTCCAAAAATCGAAAAATTGACAAATGGGAACTCGAAGAGTTTTATGTCGTGAAAGTGAGGAAATAAAAAAAATTAAAAACTAAAAAATTGCAAATTGAAAAAATGAAGTAACGAAAAACAAAAAAAAAATGTCATTGAAAGCACAAAAAATTATAAAATGGGAATATTGAAAAATCGAGAAACTGTAAAAAGAAAAAAAACGAAAATAAGAAACGGAAACGAAAAACTCCAAATCGAAAATTTGAAGAAATGAAAAATTCAAGAATCGAGAAATTTTAAATCGAAACATTGCTAAATCTAAAAATGTAACAATAAATAAAATGAAAAATTGAAAAATCAAGTGAAAAATTAAAGAAACGAAAAATAAAAAAAATTAAAATAGAAAAAAACAAAAAATGATAAAACCGGAACATCGAAAAATCGAATTATTGAAAAAATCAAGAAAATAGAAACCTTAACGAAAAATTTCAAATCGAAATATTAAAAAATTATAAATCGAAAATGAAAAGAACTCAATTCTAATAATTGAAAAATTCAAATATTTGAAATTGGAAAATTAAAAAATCTGAAAGTTGAAAATTTGTAAACCGAAAAATTGCAAATCGAAAAATTGAAAGTTCCAATAAGTGAAATATTGCACATGGAAAGAAGAAAAATTACAAAATTAGGACATTTAAAACAGGAAAATTTAAAAAATGGTGAAAACAAAACTGAAACTAAAAATTGCAGATGAAAAAATTGAAGAAATAAAAATCTGAAAATTCTAAAAGCCGAAAAACTACAAACTACAAACTGACAAAATTGCAAAATCTAAAAATTGAAACCTCCAAAAACCGAAAAATTCAAAAATTTACAATGTTTTATGTCGTGAAATTGACGAATTAAAAAGATTAAAAATTGAAAATCCCAAATCGAAAAACTGAAATAACGAAAAATTAAAAAAAATTAATATTGCAACGACAAAAAATTATAAAATCGGAACATTGAAAATGTAAAAAATAAGAAAAATAGAAAAAAAAACGCATAAATAAAATGAAAATTTAAAAAATCGCAAAGCGAAATGTTAAAAAAATTAAAATTCTAAGAACAATAAAAATTATAAAACCGGAACTTCGAAAAATCAAATTATTGAAAAAAATGAAGAAAATGAAAAACTCAATTCTAATAATTGAAAGATCCAAATGTTTGAAATTAGAGAACTGAAAAATTTTAATTTGAAAATTAAAAATATTGTAAATCAAAAATTAAAAAAAGAAAAAATTGAAAAATCAAAAAACTGAAAACCGAAGTTGCAAACCAAACATTGAAAAATCCAATAAGTAAAAAATTAGGAAAACAAAACCGAAACAAAAAATTAAAGGACGAAAAATTGAAGAAATAAAGAATTAAAAAATTGCAAAATCTAAAAATGTACAAAATAAATGAAAAATCGCAAAGTGAAAAATTACAAGAACGAAAACTTAAATAAATTAAAATTAAAAAAAACAAAAAATTATAAAAGCGAAACATGGAAAAATCGAATTAGTGAAAAAAATCAAAAAACTAAAAGTCCTAACCAAAAATATGGCAAATCGAAAATTTGAAAAG